GTGTATGTTGATTTTCAAAAAGATATGTATTTGACGTCTTTATTTTTTTGACAGCACAAGAATCTTATTATATCTCTACCTCTTACCCATATTTTAGTGTTCTGTTTATGTCCCGCATAGGATCTGCGGTCTCATAATTCAACGAGGGTTTTTTTAGACTCGAGGGGATTGGTCTGGGGATCAGCAAAACCTTGTTAACATGCCTGGGATTTGAAGGCACCGTTCAGAAATTATTTCCAAATTGATATTGACACTGTAGCTTTTTCAAAACCATTCTCTGCTTTTTGCCATGTGAGACTTGCCAGATGACAGAGTATTTACTTGAAAAAGCGCTGTGTGTTGTCCAGAAAGTCCCAGCCTTTTCACTCCCAAATATTCTATAATATAGATTAAAAAATAAAATTCAGTACAGTTGTTTTCTTATTCTTTTTCAGCTGCACACTGCTGTAAACACTTCTGAAAAACACAGGATTCAAGTTGGTGGTGATTGAACCCACTTCCTTCACGAATGATGGAAGGGTGGTAACAATGAATTCTCTTATCCCAGGAAGATCCCCGCGTCCTTCCCCTCGCGTCGGTTGGGAGGATGGACGCTGGAATTGCTGCTCAGGTCAGGAAGGCAGGTGGCATCAGTGCAGTACACAACAGGATCTGCGGTGTGCTTGTACCTTGCCAGTGCTGGGTCTGGCCACGACTTTCTCCTTCTTGAACAGTAAAGTCACTCATTTTTTATTTTTTCAGTTTTAAAAAAAAAAAAAAAAAAAAAAAAAAAAAAAAAAAAGGAACCCCCGGGCTTCCTCAAAAATAGTTGTAAATCATGCAGTTTCTTACATTTCAATGTAAATGGGATTTGAATGAATAATTCTAATTATTCATTCATCCTAATTCAAATCCTATTTTAATTAGCCTGTGGGCCCGATTTCACTTTCATGCAGCATGAAACCTCTTTTGATTATCAACAGAATTGCCATGCATTTATTCTTGAATTTTTTTTCTGCTCAGCACACGTCTTTTTAAACTGCTTAAAAACAAAACAAATAATCATTAATAAATTAATCAAATTTCATTAGCATGACATGGTAGGATATATTTTAAGGGAGAAAAAGTCTTCCTGTAAATATATTCCCCTTAATGGCTGCCTTTCGGCTACAAAATCTTTCTCCTACGTATGCCGTTTAAGACAAACCTTGTCCGAGGAGGTGCTGCTGAACTATTGAAATTCGGAGAGACCTGAGAGCTTCAGCTCCCTGTTCCTCGCTGGGAGTTGGGTCTCACGGCTGGAAGGTGTGCTCCTGCGCTGCACTTCGCCTCTGTTCCAGGGAAAACTCAGTTGCGAGCTGAAGCCCATACCCGGGTGTGGACTTGGCCAGGGGAGGGTGTCTCAAGCTATGATGGGATGGTGAGCTGGGCTAGGAGGGGTGGGTTGGCCCGTCTGCCTTCACAGCGCTGTCAGTCAGCCATGGTGGAGAGGTCAGTTGTAGAGTCCTTCCAGCCAGAGTCATAGAATCACAGGATGGTTTGGTTTGGAAGGGACCTTGAAAGATCATCCAGTCCAACCCCCTGCCGTGGGCAGCGACATCTGTCACTAGACCAGGTTGCTCAAAGCCCCGTCCAGCCTGACCTTGAACACTTCCAGGGATGGGGCATCCACAGCTTCTCTGGGCAACCTGTGCCAGTGCCTCATCACCCTCATTGTAAAAAATTTCTTCCTTACATCTAGTCTGAATCTCCCCTCTTTTAGTTTAAAACCATTACCCCTTATCCTATTGCAACAGGCCCTGCTAAAAAGTCTGTCCCATCTTTCTTATAAGCCCCCTTTTAAGTACTGGAAGGCTGCAATAAGGTCTCCCCGGAGCCTTCTCTTCTCCAGGCTGAACAACCCCAACTCTCTCAGCCTCTCTCCATAGCAGAGCTGTTCCAGCCCTGGACCCGCTCCAACAGGTCCGTGTCTTTCCTGTGCTGAGGACCCCAGAGCTGGAGGCAGTGCTCCAGGGGGGTCTCACCAGAGCTGAGTAGAGGGGCAGAATCCCCTCCCTCGACCTGCTGGCCACGCTGCTTTGGATGCAGCCCAGGATACGATTGGCCTTCTGGGCTGCGAGCGCACATTGCTGGCTCATGTCCAGCTTTTCATCCACCAGTACCCCCAAGTCCTTCTCAGCAGGGCTGCTCTTAATCCATCCATCGCCCAGTCTCTGCTGATATTGGGGATTGCCCCAACCCAGGTGCAGGACCTTGCACTTGGCCTTGTTGAACCTCATGAGTTTCACATGGGTCCACTCCTCAAGCCTGTCAGGGTCTCTCTGGACAGCATCCCTTCCCTCAAGCGTATCAGTTATGCCCCTCAGCTTGACGTCATGCACAAACTTGCTGAGGGTGCACTCAGTCCTAGTGTCTATGTCGATGGAATGACATGAAATGAGTCCTGACGTCGTACATTAGGAAAGCATTTGGGATTCGACAGCCTGCAGTAAGGCTGCTCTTAAAACTTGGCTGTTGCATGCTGCACCACCTTATAGGTGCCATACATCTCGGGGGTATGGAGGCATTGCTGGGAGCGTTTCGCCAGAGTAACAGTTGTTCCAGCTGCCTCCGGTCTTCCTGTCCCACTGTCCATCCCTGCCACGCTTCAACTGTCTCATCCGAAGGCAGGATTTTAAGGTTGCTACAGTAAACTGCTCCTCTGAGGTGAAGTTCTTCCCTCCCTGACTGGCGGGAGGCCATCACAGTTAGATGAGAAAGCTGAAACGAGATGAAATTAATCCCATGTTAAATTCATATTCAAACCCACACATGGGCTGGATAGGGGAAGCTCCACACATGAGGGGCCGTTCACTGTCTGTGTCTGTACAATAGCCGTGTTAAAATAACTCAAGAGATTTCCTGCAGTGAATCTCTTAACCTAAAGCTGATTTTTTTTTTTCCCCATGTACCTGCTCCAAATTCTTCTTTATTCTTTCTGGATGTCAGTGTCTGCAAAACTTTAATTCGCAGGAGCCAGCTTGCTGTCAGAGATAAGCGTCATGTTATTTGCATCGTATATCCTGCCTGCTCTAAGGAGCCTCCTCCACTGGAAGTGCTGGAATGAACTTATGACAAATACAAGGAATGAAAGTCTCTCTCAAATGCACTTTCTGGCGTGACGTAAATTAGCTGAAATTGCTGACATTTTGCCTTTTTCAGATGCGTGTCAGCGTCCATAGACTTTTATTTCAAACAATGGAAAATCACCGAGCTAAATGTTGCCAGAACAACAAATCTGGGAGATGCTAAGTGTACATTAGGTGAAGGTTACTGCAATATATCTGGGTCCTGCAGTACATGTGTTGTAAAGGCAGAAACATGCAGTCTCTAACCCTGGCCGATCTCACGAAACTGAAGGATACCACCATTTCAAATGCCATAATTCTGCCTGGAACTTTTTGCTTTCGTATTACGTTTAATTTGGATGGGCTGAACATTTCCAGTGAAAGAAAGGTTTAATGACAGGTCATTTCACTTGAACCAAAATGTTTCCTTAAAGACAAAGAAGGTCTTTGCCTGCTGGTGGATTCTCCCATATTGGTGTCAGTAGCTCTGCTCTGGACTAAAACTAAATTTAGAATAAGTGACGCTTTCTTGTTGAAGAGAATCAGAGCTCTTCAGCAACTTCACATCTCCACAGCCAGAACTCTCTAATTGACAGGAGTCTTGGTTATTAAACACGTGGCTGATAACACCGTCTTCTGCATCTGAAGGCTGTGGTTAACCTAAATGTACAAGTATGTGCGGTCAGTGTCTATACGTAGGTTTCTCATGCTGTTCATTTATATAACTGGTGGAATTCAGGACGTGAATCGCTGTCTTTCTCCTGAAGCAAGTTCTAAAGCGGGCCAGATGCGTTGTGCCCTCCAGTGGCTGTCTCCCGCTCTGAGCGGCGGCTCGGCTCCGCACCAAGTCCGAGGGAGCTGAGGTATGATCCACCTGCCTCCCCGCGTCTTCCTCTCTATAGCTGGCGAGGTACGATACGAGCCAACCACAGGTGTGTGGTCTGCAGATAGAAAACGCACCTTGAAAAGCTGATAAATACCTTGAAAGAATTTATTAGATGTCGAGGTAGCAGCTCATCTAAAAGTAAAGATTCAGTGTCCCCTCTCTTACTGAAACCAGTGCTAATTTCAAACTTCTCTGTTGTTAATGGCTGATGAATAAACATTGACAGTATCTGAAAATTTAAAGGCTAGTTCCTGCTTTTATTCCATTTACGCTGGCAACAGTATTGAACTAATTTCAAATTTACTCTGTAGTTTACTTTTAGAAAATAGTTTGGCCCTAACGTTTTCAGTGGGTGAAAATTAACCTCTTCTTAAACTCATTTGGGTTTTGTCTCGTTTTTAATTGACGAATAACAACATGTCAGCTAGCAACATGCATGTCCCTTTACACGTCCGTGCGTGGTGACTAGATTGGTGGTGCAGCCTGGTGTGAATGTGGGTGTTGTGGCTCTTACCTCTGTAATCCCCAGTCCCAGATGTGGGTTTCACTTGCCTTTTCTGTTCAGCGAATTGGAGGCTCTTCAGGTGCATAGAGTACCCCTGGACTCGATCTACCATCCGTTTTGACTCCAAATCTGAGTGAGCTGCTGGGACATGCTGAATGTGCGGGTGTCTGAAGCACTGTCTCTCTGCTCACTGTAATGCAGAGCTCGGGGTTGCAGAGCTGTACTCGCGTGCCTTTCTGAAATGGGGGTTCAGAGCGTGAAGCCACCTGCTGCAGTAAGGTGCTGCACTGGGACTGGAACCCTCTGGTCATTTTTCCTGTTAAAAACGTGTTGTTTCAGCCAATATTATCTATGGCATAACAGTAGCACGGTTGCATAGAAAGAAGAGCATTGATTGCAAGCCTTGGATTCATTGCATGCTCAATTGACAGCTGCTAGATTAAGTGATTGACTGGTAATCCTTCATTTTCTTCCCATGTTTCCCAGCTAAATAAATTGAACTCTCTTAATCTCTCACTTTTAGGCATCTTCCCTGTTCTTCAGCTGGTTTCGACACTAATATATTCACCCTCTGATGTTTAAGCAACTTTTGGAGGATGCAGACACAGGCATTGAGTCCTGTCTTTCTAACAAGGAGGTAAGATCACCCTCCTTGCTCCTGTTTGCACGTGACATGGCCAAGGTTTGCATTGATCATCTCTGCAGTATCACCAGCTCTCATTGAGATGCTCATCCATTAGGACCCTCACTCCCTTTGCTGTTAACTAACGTCCAGAGTAACTGCTCTCTCCTTTAAAAAAAACCTACTTTTCTTTTCCTTAGCTGCATGTCTCTGCATTGTGCTTGGTTAAAGCGGTGGTTTTGTTTCAGCAGACTCAGCCTCTCAAGCAATCTGTTTTTCTGCATCACTGATAGCTCTCATCTTTATTTGTCAGCCTGCAAACTTCTGTGCCATTTGCAGATTTTGTCAGCAGCCATTTTCTGGTCGACTCTGGGGAAAATACAGCCTAGCTGCCAGGCCTGTTCCTGGTCTTTGCAGAACTTGCTGTAATTACATGCAATTGCTCTTAGTTCTAATGTGGGAATCATTTGTCAAGATCTTTGTTACTTTTGATCCACTTAATGTGGGCTTTTTTAATACTCTCTTGCGCTATTTTTTTCTCACACTGTCATGAAGTAATAAATCAAATGTCCTACACAGCCCATCCGCATTATGTCTGTGCTGTTGCCTTTTCAATGAAACATTGAATTTCACCAGAAGGGGATTACATTTATATCCTTTAATTCTGTATTGATTGCATCCCCTCAAATTTCATTATTATGCCTGTGAACAACTCTGTAGTTGTGTGGAAGAAGTTGAATAGTTGCAAATACTAGTTTTCTTCCAGTCTCCTGGAATTTCTCCAGGTTAAGAATAAATCACTTTGAAGATCAGAGTGCCAGAGATTTGTGCAATTCTGGTTTTAGGATCTTTCACCAAATGTTGTTCTGATGTAAAAATTTCTGTTAATAATGTTTGACAAACTGTTGTTTGACATCATCGGAGGACTGAAAGATGTCTTATCCCCTGTGCTACAGCAACGTCAAACAGTTCTTCCTGTGCTCAATATTTTACCAGTTTTACTACTTTGAGCTCCAGGTGGGCATGTGACGTCGCTAGGTTTCGTTCATTGTAATACTTCACAGTGTTGCCAGCCGTGAGTTTCCACTGATGGTTTTTTTTACTGTTATGATTGCAAATTTATATTGATTTCTATCTAATATCTCTTCCAAAATTTTTGACAGATAACTTTTTTTAAACTAGATTTTCCTTCTACTCTCCCAAAAAACATTACAAAATACATACTAAAGTCTTTTTTGGCCCTGGAAGGGAGATTTTTGGCCTCCCTAAGGGACTGAACCCAAATCCATAGAACAGTTTGAGCATCAGGTTAGAAGTCAGATGTTCCTTAGGTCAAACCCTGTCTCTAGCCTAGACCTGCAGGGTAGCGCTGCTCAGGTCACTCAGGTTGGTCCGGTCTTTAAATCAAAGATAATAGCGGTTGCCTGTTTCTCAGGTTTGGTCTGGGTGATTCATTTCTGTCTGAAGACAACGGCATTGCCCTGTGGAGAGAACAGTTTCTCTCCATGGGCTGTGATCGAGGCTGAGATCGCCAGATCAGGCTTTAACAAGGCTTGGCCACCTCTGTGCAGTTAAAATAAATCTTACTGTTCGTGGTGGGACGTAGCCAACAGTGCCCATAAAATTTCACGGCAGCTTAGCTTTCGATCCGCTGTGTTTTGGAGACTTCAGCCTCAAGTGTAAATGTTTTTATTAACATTTGAAATACAGAGCAGCCGCGTCTTTCTCTTCTGCTCAGGAGTAGCTTTGGGAGCACGTTTTGTCTGTGAAACGGCAGTTAATTGCTACTTTTTTTTGTAGCAGACTTCTCAAAGGCCTGCGGAGGAGACATCGGATCTTCAAGCAAATTCTGGTAGCTGGAGTTTCCCGATAACAGGTGATGCTACAAACATGGTTGTGTGTTGGTTGTAAACATCTAGAGTTTTCTGGTTAAATGTTTGCACCGTTTAGGCTCAAGCTGATAAACTCATAAATATTTGGGGGTTTTGTTTGTTTTTTAGATAAAATTATTTGACCACCATGAGTTGGAGTTTTCTGACCCGTCTGTTAGAGGAGATCCACAATCACTCAACCTTTGTTGGCAAAATCTGGCTGACAGTGTTGATTGTATTTCGGATTGTCCTAACTGCTGTGGGTGGAGAATCCATTTATTACGATGAACAAAGCAAGTTTGTGTGCAACACGGAGCAGCCTGGCTGCGAGAATGTTTGTTACGATGCTTTTGCTCCTCTTTCGCATGTGAGGTTTTGGGTCTTTCAGATCATTCTTGTTGCCACTCCCTCTGTGATGTATTTAGGCTACGCAATTCATAAAATTGCCCGGATGGTGGAACACAGCGAAGTCGACAGAAGAATCAGAAGCAAAAGCTTTTCCATGCGCTGGAAACAACACCGCGGCTTAGAGGAAACTGAGGAGGACCACGAGGAAGACCCGATGATGTACCCAGAAATAGAGCTGGAAAGTGAACGGGAGAATAAAGAGCAGCAGGCCCCTGCCAAAGCTAAGCATGATGGCAGGCGGCGAATCCGTGAAGATGGACTCATGAAAATTTATGTGCTGCAGCTTCTGGCGAGGACTACGTTTGAAATTGGCTTTCTCGTGGGTCAGTATTTTTTGTATGGCTTTGAGGTCAGCCCCATATTTGTGTGCAGCAGGAAGCCGTGCCCGCACAAGATAGATTGTTTCATTTCAAGGCCAACCGAAAAGACCATTTTCCTGCTAATAATGTATGGGGTGAGCTGCATGTGTTTACTTTTGAATGTCTGGGAGATGCTCCATTTGGGATTTGGCACAATCCGGGACACGTTGAACAATAAGGGAAAAGAGCTGGAAGACTCTGGTACCTATAACTACCCTTTTACTTGGAATACGCCATCTGCTCCTCCTGGCTATAACATCGCGGTCAAGCCAGAGCAAATGCAATATACTGAACTGTCCAACGCCAAAATGGCCTACAAACAGAACAAAGCCAACATAGCTCAGGAACAGCAGTATGGAAGCAACGAAGAAAACATTCCTGCCGACCTGGAAAATCTGCAGAGGGAAATTAAAGTGGCTCAGGAGCGCCTGGACCTCGTGATCCAGGCTTACAACAACCAAAACAATCCCGGCAGTTCCAGAGAGAAGAAATCCAAAGCAGGCTCAAACAAAAGCAGTGCTAGTAGCAAGTCAGGAGATGGGAAGAACTCTGTCTGGATTTAATGTTGGCTGAGTTTATATATTGTGTTTTTTCTCCTAGTTTATCATAACCAGCAACCCCTTGAATAATGGCTTCCATTAAGTAAATATTTGACTCTGCTTATTTTCAGGGATACCGTTGGCTAGTGATTCAACCTCTCAGAAAGGGTTTATACGCATATTCTAGGATTATAGAACTTTATTCTTCTGTCTTCCAAGTCAGGAGACAAATAGGTATATTTAAATCATTCTCATTGAACGGTTTATGCTGTATGTACAGTATTCTAGTACATTTATTATGCACAATTTTTTGTATTTGTACACTGGATCTCTGATGTTACACTTTTTTATATTAACGAGGAGAAAGCAATGGGTAGCCGTTAGCATTTTGCTAGTTTTATTACTGTGGTCCGCAGTTTCATCGTTGTTCTTCCTTGTTTTAAACGTAAAACTTTCTATGCTGCGTTTCAAAAGTGCCTTGAACATGCACACAGCACAGAGGAGTCTCCGGTTATCCAGGCAGCCAACGGGTGCCAGTCACTGAGCAGCAGAGCAGTGAAAGATTTGGAAAACATCTGTTAATGGTGCTCTTGACTCTGTCTTTTACAAAAATGATGTGCTACTTATAAAATGCAAGTGTCATACTGTAACTGTTACGTGCTACGGTTTTTTTCGCCCTATGGAAAATAACTTACAGGAAAAATGTACGTGTGTGAGAGTACTTGTGTTCAGAGTAAGAGTGCCAGCCGTAACACAGAGAGGGCTCAGACCTCTCTGCAAGCTTTATGCAACAGGAGGGAAGAGAGACTTCAAACTCTTGTAAAACATCCAAAAAAAGGTAAATAGACATTACTGGATTCGGTAGTTCCACATATTTATGTGGTATCTATGGAAATGGACGTTCCTGCGGTCTGTTGTTACACAACACCCTGCTCCCCAAGGGCATGAGGTTGTTATGATACCTTTTGGATAAGATTTCTGTCTTTTCCAAAGTAATCTGGTTAGATGGAGTCATGGTAATTTTGTTTCTCTGTGCATTACACTCGAGGAATAACCTTCCTCCCCCCCAGCCAGGACACACGAGCTGTCTGTAGGAGTTTTTACAAAGCCCTTTCTGAATATCAGTGATACTGCCTTATTCCAGACCCCTCTTCCTTCCATTATGTCTGAAAAATTTTGTTCAGACAGAGCAATATGTGTAATTTAGATTTCTGCTTGAGAGACCAGTCAGATTTGGCATTCTGTGGTTTTGGCATTAAACTTGAATTTATAATTAGAAAAAGGAGAATGCGGTATTTACTGCCTTTGGCGGTGTCTTTTTGGCAAGGATATGCATTAATGTTTCAGAGATGCTGATAAATGTGTATGCTTTTTGCTACTATTTATAATGTATTCAAGACCTTGCTCCGCTCTCTTTTTTTGTTAGTTTTTCATGTGTTTTAATATATTTTGGGGGCCTGTTTCAAGCGGGACTGTTCTGTTTCGAGCCTACCTCAGTCCTTAGTGCCCTCATTACAGCCTGGTCAGGAACAGGATTGAGAAGTAAGGCTCCGTGGAGGACGCAGGTAAACCTGTACTCCATTCCTGTACCGCAGAACATCGAAGCGTAGGCTTTACATTAAATTTAAACTAAGGGGATACGAGCACATGCTTGCAGTTATCTTCTACCCAAGCACTTGCTGAAAACAGGTATTTTGCTGACTTGTTTTCAGTCTGTTTTCACTCTGGGACACCAGGGAGTCCAGGCGTAGATCCCAGCTATCTCTCATCTCTGCTTTAGAGAGGCGTAAGTGTGCCCAGAGCCAACGCAACCCTCTGCACGAGGTCAGCGAGAGCTTCTCCAGTTCACCTCCAGCAGAGACGTTTGGAAGCGAACTTGCTGTCTGGCTTTTTGTTTAGCAGTAGCTCCTGGCCGCTACTCCGGGAAAGGAGCAACCTCTGAATTTTATGCAGAAAAAGTTTCAGGGTGATGTCTTTAAGTAAGTATGAGTAAGTAACACAGTAAGTATATAGCAGTTTTTAAAAGCTTAAGTGGACTTGCTAGCCAGTGAGATGAGACTAGCTGTGTGGGGTGAGAGGGAGTGTATTAATAGTGGTCCTCTAATTAAACAGGAGCCTGAAGAGAAGCACGCTGCTTGAAGATGGGCAGAGAGGCTTTGCCAGCAGAAAGCTGGGAGTCTGATGGAGGAGCTGGGTGGAAAACATGTTGTCTGAAAGTACTAGGGAAAGACATTTGGAGCCTGGAGATAAACGCAGATGCGTGGCTACAATCCACTCATTATCCCCTGACACTGGGGTGTTCTTTTCAGCTTCCCAAAAGCTGAAAAGTTGCTCTTAACCCTTTGCCGTGGTTTCGGAACAGCCTTTCACCAGCTGAATGGCAAGAAGTGAAAATCCTTTCCCCTTGCTGCTCTCTACGCAAACTGCAGTGATTTCTTATTAATGGCTTAAAATAAAATTGGTTCATGACGGCTGCTTCACCCATTGTTTGTATTGGCCCTTCCCCAATTAACGATCTGAACCGTTACCCCCTTAAAGCTACTGTCTCAGGTCAGTCCTGTGAGCTTTTGTCCACACCAGTAAATACTCCCGTTAGTGTATAGAATATTCCAATCCCAGCACTGAATTCATTCCGAAAATGCAAAGTAATGGAGCTGTTTCTATTACTGGTTTTTTGTTTTCATTTTAATTGTGTATAAAGTGCACATTTTCTTTGAAACTGAGTGTTTGTTATTAGCAGAGGATGTCTGTTAAAGCTCTAAATGTTCATGTCTGTGACTGTATTCAGTTTCAAAGTGTCGGGCTTGATTTTTCCTTTTGAAGAAATGATACATGCATTACTTTAAAATGCTCTCTTGCTTTGGCTTAATGTAGGCCATTCCAAAATAAATGTTCAGAAGAGACTTTTGGACAAAAAATACTGAACATAACTTGGGTTTGTCTTGTCATTCTCTGGTTTTGGTTGCAGTTTGGAAAAAAAATAATCTATTAAATCCAGTGGATTACTCCAGTCCGAGTGAGACGGCTTCTTTTTTCCAGCAATATGCTGCGAATATGTGAGTGAGGGAGAGGGATATGTTAATGATTTTTCTTTGAGCCACAACTTGGAGTTTTTATATGTTTGACCTTGTTCAGTGTAATAAAAGAGTTGGTTAGAAACCAGCTGTGCCCTTCTGCTCGTGAGTTGCTCTTCAGTGACAAGAACAATTGCATTAAAAAAAGAAAAATCTATAAACTTTGGAAGTCAGACCTTGAGAAGGGTACCACTTACGAAAACAAGAAAGTCTGCATTTATGCATATGAATGAGCATGCTGATATTGTCCAGTGAACTGTGCAGCATTAGCTGGCCTAATTTAGCTGCGATTTTTGACGGAACATACGGGAGCTGGCTGCCCAGCTCCTTTTAAAAATTGCAGCTGAATGCCCGTCTGTTTTGCCGTCACAAAAGATGGCTTTTGTAAGTGTCCCATGCTTTCCCCTCGCTGCAAATTTGGCCTCAAAATTGGAAGTATGTCTAAGGAGGCATTAAGTGGTTTGTCGTGTCATGCAGCTGCGGGAAAGCTAGAAGTGAGATGGATTTGGTGGGGGGGGCTTGGAATAAAAAGCTGTTTGTTCGGAGTTAAAGGAAAAAGCAGCCGTATAGACGAGGACAGTGCTGCTCCTGCTCACAGAGCACGTTGTGTCCTGAGCCTCAGCGAGGGCTGTAATGGCAGAAATGGGTGACGGTGACCAAGGCAGGATCCAGCAGTAATAATTGTGTGTGTGTTTTCAACTGTCAGGTTACCTGAGCATCCTGCAGTCTCCACGGGCTGGGAGATGCGTGCGGAGCAGGGAACAGCCCAGACGCAGTTGCCAGCTCTGTGCCCGGGCAGGGTAACAGCGGCTTGAGCCGCGCGGCACAGGTTCAAGTGCACGGATAACCAAGGAGGTGCAGCGGGACCTGGGCTCCTGCTGAGTCGTCTCTGCTGCTCCAGAAGGACACTTAACCTCGCCGTTATCTTTAAGCATGCGATTATCTCTGTATGAGTCAATGCAGCCAGCTACAGGCATCCAGTTAAGCATGTGCTTAAGTGTTTTAAAGTGCAGAAGCCTTCATTTAACAACAAATTTGCAGCAAGAAATTCTGAAATGCTTCAGGCATTTAACCATAACTGAAAAAGAAGGGTACGGTTGCAGCGCTCTTCGCTTGCGATACGTTTCTTGGGAAATCGCCTAATACAAGCCATCGTGTGATGGCTGTATTTGCTCTTGTGCTCAGAAACAGGCCAGGAGTAGAAAACTCAGAGGTCAAAGCTGGGATCGTACGCAGTCACCCCGGGCTTGGTTCAGTTGCTCCGTGCAGATGCACGGTGCTGTTTGAGATGCCCCTGGGTGTTTCGCGTGGCCTCCAGCTGCTGCTCCGAGAGGGCGCGTCTTCCCAGGGGTCCTGTGTCACATCTGCCAGCCCTGCGCAGATGCCTCCAGTGCTTGAGGACCTCTCCGACAGCACCGCGTGCCTAGACGTGATCCCAACTGATCCTTTGTGTCTCTGGGCAGGCCAGCTGACAGTTCCACCTTGTTTTCCTCTGCTATAAAGCAAGGACAACACGACTTACTTCATACCGGGTATTGCAAGTATAAATTAGATCCTCTCTGCAGAGTAATTTCCCTGTTGGAAGCATAGGTTAGGGGTTTAATATTGTTAGCATTAAGTGTTCCTGCCTGTAGTTTAGCTACAATCTTGCAGCAACTACGCCATTCTTCTTGTAGCTTGATTTGTTAATAATACAAGAATTCTTGATACCAGGCGCATAACTTGCCAGCTGTGAGGTTACTTTCAAAAGGAGCTGTTTATTGAGATGTGCATGGTTGCTCTGGGGCGTTTGTGGCATGCTTAATTCCTGTGAATCAGACGTGCTGTGCTTTGCACGTCGTGCGGTTACCGTGAAACAGTTCCTGAAAGAGAGATCTGTTTGCGCGAGTTAAATTACAGTTTGCTGTTGCCGGTGTAACTAGACGTAACCCACCTTTCTACTGCAGCATGGAAAGGAGCTCAGGGGCTGCTTCTCCTTCGGGGCTTGCCATTCATTTTCTCTGTGTCAGTGGAGACTTCAAATACAGTTCATCATTGCTTGGAAAATGACATTTTGTTTTCTACAGCATGACATTATCGTCGTTGGGTAAATTCTGTGTTGATAGCTGGGGAAAAATGCCTTGGAAGGGGGATTTAAAGGCTCATCGGTGCTATGGAATATTTCTATACAGTTCAGATTTTGCTGTCCTCCTCCCTTTTATTTTTTTATTGAACAGGATGTTCGGGTTACTCTTTGGCAAAGGACCTATCGCCCGTTCGTGGACCCGAGCCTGCTGCTTCCCCAGGAGCAGAACCGAGGCCCCTGCGGCTGCGTCCACATTGACTTGCGGTCGTATGCCCTGGGATTTTACACGTGACCCTTGTTGAGGTCCGTGACTTCTGCTGCCCCGTGGCCTGGATTTCCTCTGTGTGGGAGCGAAGTCTGGCCGAGCAGAAGCCGGAGCTGCGAACCCGCTTTCTCTTTAGAGACGGCCGCGGCGTGTGCCTGCGCCCGAGCGCGGGCATGGGGCCGGGTCCTCCGGGCTGACGCGGTGCAGACCTGCGTATCGCCTGTAACACGCTTGGCCGGGAGGTTGGTCTCGGTGTTCAGATGGAAGTTAGGATCCCGGTCTCTGGCGATGAATGAAATTTCTTAAGTCAGTAGACAAGTGGTGATACATTTTGTTTTTGTTGTAAGTACTGGAAATCATCATGCCAACTTCTCAGCTTTCAGCTTGCCCTTATTTAAAGACATATTGTGACTTAAGTTAGTTACTTTTTTTTTTCCCCCCCTCTGAGTATTTTCATCCCCAGAAATTCAGTATTCCTGTTAATGACTGTTTGCCAGGCTTTTTCTATCTTTTTCCATAAACTTGAAATCACCTGAAAATCCACTACCAGCAAACTTTTTAAAAAGCCTGTTCTGTATGGAAAATGTTTCTGGTAACACATTGATATTAGCAGGTGTCAGTATGTACGTGTGTATCGGTAGTTTTGGGGCCACCTCATCACCTTTGGCTCTTATTCCCCCTGACTTTTTGTGCAGGGGGGAAGGTGAGGAGATTTGACCCATGATACCTGAACTTAAATGTGATGACTCCAAGCTCTGAAACAAAATTCCTCTCTCGCTTTATATTGCTGATAGCAGTATTTCTTTTTTCTCTCTGAAGCTGGTATTACAATGTTGAGCGATTCGTTGCTGCATGTATTCTTATGTCATAGACGAAAAGTTAAGACTTAATGCATCGTAGAGATCCTTTGAGTGTTTGCATTAATTGGAATTACACCAGAGACCACAGTAAGTCCCACTGGTGTGCACTGGTGAAAAATGCTGTGAAAATACGAAGTTACAAAGAGAAGTTTGTGGGTTGTCTGTGGTTTGTAATGGAGGGAAGAGACCCCCGAAAGCGCCGTACCTGCTGCTCAGGTCAGCTTCATCCGGAGTACCTGCCCGGAGGAGGACGAGGAGCACCGGGACAGGAATCGGCTTTCCTGGAGCTTGCTCAGCAAAGCACCGCGTTTCGTTAATTGGTTCCAGCGCTAATTGAAGGCTGGTGGTCTGTCCGCAGGTATGTTGGACGTTTTATAAACTCTATAGCTCCGTAAGAGCCCGCTGGAACCAGCTGGTTTCCACTGAGCTGAGGGTGATCCTCCAGCCCCAACGCAGCCCTTTATCTGACATGTAAAGCATGAATCAGAAAATCTAGCTGATTAGTCAACCATATTTGGTAATAAACTCGTTAACGTTTCAAAAGGTCTTTGAGGGAGCTGTTGAAAAGTCAGTTTGATTACATCAGCTGCATGCTGAATTTCTATGGGCTTGTAGCTGGAACACACTCAGCGTGAGAGATTAACACATAGGTTCCCTGGGAGTATATTTTCCATGTTCTCCATGAGAAAAATAAATAACTTTGCTTATATAAACGTGCAATATGTTACATGTTATGTTATATATATGTTATATATGCAATATTGTATAAATGCTCTTAAAATGAGGTGGAAAGAGACGTGGAAATGTACAGCAAGGATCTCTGAAAATCAAGGCTGGATTGATCTGGTAAATTTTGTGATGAGATTCTTGATTCAGAGAAGAAAGGTACTAAATGAAAACGTTCCGGACATGAGTTGCTGCCTTGTTACGGTGCTGCCCAAGAAATTGCTTGGCCCGGTAGGATGGGTTGTTCTCACAAGCCAGGTAAAGTGCACAAGAGCAGTGCCGCTGGTGATGGGCGCACAGGAGGGAGAAGGGGGAACTGCCAGTGTGGAGGGCAGAAGGAACTGCGCTCTTGGTCTTTAGACCAAGAGATTTTCATATCTTCGTGTAAATTTTTGATGTTTTGGTATTTTCATTGACACACACACCCCCACCCCAGTCCAAATGTACTAATGGAATTTGCAGGCAGTGTGGAACTGGGAGGCGTTTTGTAAAGCCGGTGAAGGTTTGGAGGCAGGACCTGCTGTTATCGGCGCTACGGACCTGGCGTGACCTGGGTGCGCAGTATTCCCCCTCCTAGAGCAAAACTGCTTTTCAGTGTGGAAATGTGAGCAGCCTTGCTCCATTTATTAACACCTCTCTTCAGCCCTCCTGCTTTGACTTCAAGCAAATTAAAGGAAGTTTGGGACACTTCCAGTCCCATAAAAAGGTGGTGGCCAGAAGTGCTTCTGCTAAAAACGGGTAAGAATATGTATTTTTGAGGATTTTTGTAGCGTGGCTGGGCAGCTGCCAGATCCTATAGCAGCACCTGCAGCCTACGAGGGGATGGCATGGTGGAGGACGCGTGGCCAGGAGCCTTGCAGCAGTAAGAAACTTCTAAAGTAAGAAAAGAGATGTGATTGTATCAAATAGAAAATGAGTTTATTAAATGAAACGCAGGGAGCGAGGTACAGATAGGTGTTTTGCCTCCGCACGGAGCGTGGGTGTGATGCACCCAGCAGCGTTTGATGTTGTACAGTGTCTGGCATTCCCGTCTGAGGGAAGTCCTTGCTGCTACGTGCGTTGCGATAGCACCTAGATGCTGCAGGACAGACTGGGGACC